GTGGGCAGTGGATTAAAGATATTAAGAATTGTTGTGCATGGTAATTTTGTAGGAAAGTGGGTGGAAATATGTTAGTTTACTGATTGATTAGTTTAAGAAAAGGGATGTTTAAGTGATATATTTAGGGCAGTGGAGGAAATGGATAGAGTTGAATAAATGTTAAATTAGGATTTATGGGGAAGGCTGCTTTGAAATGTTATATTAATATACACAAAGAATAAATGTTAAAGTAGGATTTATTATATAGTCTTAAAGTGGAAGGTTGCTTTGAAATGTTGTAATAATATATAGATATAAGTTTTGGGGAGGACAAAAAGGGCAGATTATTGCTAAATTGGGAGTTATAATAATATTATGCTAAATTAGAAGTTATCATACAATGTTATAGCAGACTGCTTTTTTTTGAAATGTATGGTAAAAGGGGAAAGTAACAATATCAATAATATTTTTAGTAAGTAAGGGTCAGTATATAGAGGAGGGAGTACGGAGATGGTAAAATATTATGTAATCTGTTATGAATTAGGTTTTTGGTGTGAAGAAGTCACAGGGTGGGATGGGTGGCGAGGGGGGGTTAGGGAGGAGGGGGGGAAGGAAAAAAGGAGGAAACATTTGTATTTGAAAACTTTTTCAATAAAAAAAAAAAGAATTAGATATAGTGTGCCTCCAGGAGGTACACATAAGAAAACAAGATATAAAATATATACAATATAAGAAATTAGGTACAGCATACTCATCATTGGCAGAAGAAAAAAAAAGAGGAGTAGTGGTATACGTTAAGGAAGGAATAGATAGCAATATAAGATATGTGGATACCGAAGGTAGAATAGTGATGATAGAGCTAAAACTGGATCTCAAAAATATATTGTTAGTAGTAATATATGCCCCAAATAGTAAACAATTAGAAATCTATAAAAAAGTGCACGAGAAAATTATGGATCGAAAAATGGAAAATGTATGTCTGATTGGCGACTTCAATGCGATTTTTGATGCAAGAAAAGATTATAAATGTGTCCAGCAAAATAAAAATAAGAAAAATGTACTGCCCAGAACCTTTATAGATATGGTGGAAGAATTAAATAAGAGCCTTGGTACTACAGTGGTTTAAAGCACCCTGTTATTAACACAGCTGCCTGCAATTTACTGCTGGTTCGAATCTCTCCAAGGCTCAAGGTTGACTCAGCCTTCCATCCTTTCTAAGGTAGGTTAAATGAGGACCCAGTTTGTGGGGGCAATAAGCTGACTTTGTATAAATATACAAAAGTATGAAGGCTATTGCTTAACGCACTGTAAGCCGCCCTGAGTCTCCGGAGAAGGGCGGCATATAAATCAAATTAAAAAAAAAAAAAATATGATAGATGGCTGGAGATTTTATAACCCTGAAATTAGAAATTTTACATATTATTCAAATCCACGTAAGTCTTGGTCTAGGTTGGATATGGCATGGGTATCCAGTATATTAATGACAGAAATAGAAGCAGTAGAAATCCTATCAAACGATTGGGCGGATCACAACCCAATAATGATGACATGGAAGGGGCAGCAGAAAAGGAAAAATAGATGGACAATGAATACACAGTTGATGAAAGAAAAAGAGTATAAGAATTATATGGAAAAGGAGTTAGAATTGTTTTACAAGGAAAACACAAAACAACACACCTCCCTACAAAACTTATGGGATACAACTAAGGTGTATGTAAGAGGCCTTACAATAGCATATAATGCAAAAGGGAGAAAAGAGAGAGAAAAAGAATACAATAAAATACGAGAAGAAATTAAAAATTGGGCAAGTAAATTGCAAGGAAATCCAGGGGATGAACAAATAAGGGTAAAATGGATAGCGGCAAAACACAAGCTGAACATATTAGAACAAGGGAAATACACAATTACTTTAAGATATATAAGGCAGAACTACTTTCAACACGCAAACAAACCAGGGAGGTGGTTGGCATACAGACTGAGGAAGGAAAAGGAAAAAAAAAACAATTCAGAAGTTACAAGATGAAGAGGGAAGGATCCATCAGAGACTAGGGGAAAAAAAGGAGATAGTAGTCCAATATTATCAAAAACTCTATGAGAAGGACATAGTAACAATGGAGGAAATTGAACAGTATTTAAAAGGAGAGGGAGTGCAAGTACTAACAGAGGAAGAAAAAGAACTATTAGATAAGGAGATTACAATAGGGGAACTAAAAGAAGCGTTGAAGAGACAGAAAAATAATAAACTCCGGGGACCGATGGTCTTCCAACGGAGTTTTATAAAACATTTGGGGAATCATTAAATGGAATCTAATTAGAAACATACAATGAAGCGCTGATGGAGGCAAAATTACCAAACACATGGAAAGAGGCGTATATATACCTAATACCAAAAGAGGGGGCAGATACCACATTAACAAAAAACTATAGGCCGATTTCTTTGTTGAATACCGATTACAAAATTTTCATGAGTATAATTGCCAATAGGTTGAAAAAAATATTACATAACAAAATACATCAGGACCAAAATGGTTTCTTGCCCACAAGACAGATAAGAAATAACTTAAGGATGGTAATGGATGTTTTGGAATACTATGAGGTACATCCAGAGAGACAGGTAGCTCTGATCTTTCTGGATGCACAAAAAGCGTTTGACCAAGTAAATTGGCAATTTATGACACAACAAATCAAAACTATGAATTTTGGAGAGAAATTTACTAAAATGATAACATCAATATACCAGAACCAAAAAGCAAGTATTTTGATAAATGGAGATCCAACAATTTTTTTTGGAATAAATAAAGGAGTAAGGCAGGGATGCCCGCTATCACCCCTACTTTTTATTTTAACTTTGGAAAACCTGCTTATTAGAATTAGGGCAAATAAAGAAATACAAGGATTAAAGATCAAGAGAGAGGAGTACAAGGTCCAAGCTTTCGCCGATGACCTTGTCTTCTTTATAGAAAACCCAACAGAAACAACCCCGAAATTATTAAAAGAGATTGGAGAATTTGGAAAAGTAGCAGGTCTAAAAGTTAATAAGGAAAAGACAAATATGATAACAAAAAATATGACAACAAAACAAGTAGAGAAATTAGTAAAAGATTCAGGACTACAGGCAGTTAAAAAAGTGAAATATCTGGGGATACATTTGACGGCTAGAACCATAACAATAAAACAAGATAATTATGAACCTTTAGTTCAAAAAATAAAAGAGGATTTAGAGAAATGGGGGAAATTAAGACTATCTTTGTTGGGGAGGATAGCAGCAATAAAATCAAACATATTGCCAAGACTCCTTTATTTATTCCAAACAATTCTGATAAAATTGGACAAGAAATTCTTTGATAATTTGGATAAAATAACCACAAAATTTGTGTGGGAAGGGAAAAAATCAAGAATAAAACTAAATATATTGCAAGATGATAAAATCAGAGGTGGATTTGGTTTTCTGGCATGGCAAAAATACTACAAGGCCGCAAGTTTACTTTGGATCAAGGAATGGATAACCTTGGATAATCAAAGGTTATTAATCTTGGAGGGACATGACCTGATGAAGGGTTGGCATGCCTTTATTTGGAACACGGAATAAAATATATAAACACTTCAATAACCACACTATTAGGAAATCTTTAATTAATACATGGCAACAAATTCGGCACAAACATTATATGAAAATTCCTGGCTGGCTATCGACAATAGAAGCAATAATCCATCCCAATATACTATCTAAACAAAAAATATTAAGATATAGAGAAATATTAGATAGACAGGGGAATCTGAAAACTAGAGAAGAATTAAAGGAACAAGGAATAGCAATAGACTGGTGGCCATACTCACAAATAAAGATAAGATATAGGAAGGACAAGGAGGAGGGAGGAATAGATTTAAGACAAAACCGATTAGACAAAATATTAGAATCCAAAGAAGGGAAGTTAATTTCGAAAATTTACAAATATTTACTCGAATATGATCTGGCAGAAGAATTGGTTAAAGGGCAGATGATAGCCTGGGCGAGGAACATCAGACACAGTATATAACTAGAAGAATGGGAAAGAGTATGGGAAAATAACTATACCATGACAAAATCGGTAGCCTACAAAGAAAATCATTATAAAATGTGGTATCGATGGTATCTGACCCCCGCACGGTTAGCAAAAATGTATCCAAATGCAAATCCGACTTGCTGGAAGTGTAAAAAAGCACAGGGAACTTTTTATCATGCTTGGTGACTCTGCCCAGAAATTAAGAAATATTGGAACAAGATTAAAACATGGATAGCAGAAATAACAGATTATGAAATTGAATTAGAACCCGAAATTTTTTTATTAGGTATGATCAAAAAGAACATTAGGAATGATATAAAATATTTAATACTTCACATAATAACGGCGGCTAGACTAGCAGTAGCACAACTTTGGAAAACAAATAGATTACCAACTGATCAGGAGCTAATACAAAAGATATACACATGCGCAGAAATGGACAAATTAACCTTAGAGTTACAGGATAAGGAGGACTCAAAATATTTTAGAATATGGAATAGATGGTACCAGTGGATAAATCAAAGGAGGCCAAATGGGTTGAGATGAAATTTAAAGGAAATTATCATAATTAAAGAAAAATGCACTGTCAGATAGATAGAAAATGAAATATGTCACTGTAGGTTTGTATATATGTATATATAATAATAGAAATTAGTTAGTAGTTGAAGTTGATTATTATATATGCAAATTTGTTTCTTTTTTTTTATTGCAAAAGTTTTACAATTACATTTTCACCCCTTTCCCCCCCACCCCCCACCCCAAACTTCCCAACCTCCCTAACCCTCCCTAACCCTCCCCTCCCCCCAGACTTCCCTATAATGTACTCATAACTGGTAAAGAAAGATAAAAAAAAACACACACACAAAAAAAAACCCTTAATATAACACTTACGTAAAAACTTGAGCCCCTCCCTCCCCTTTATAGTTTTTCTTTTTACCCTCATTACATTAAAATATTTCTATTTTTTTTTAAATTAGGTTTAAGAGTCACCGTTTAATCCCGTTTAAATTACAAAAAGGAGGAGTGTGCACGCTACAAAATAACCTTGATATGGGAACATTAACCAGTTACAGCTTCCATTCTGTGCAGAAAACCTGCTCCAGTATGGCTGGGTAATGCCAGCAGGGAGGCCTCCTATACCCCAGGCATGCTGGGATTCCGAGATTCAATGCAGGGATACCCCGCAGGTAGTGGAGTTAAGATGCAGCAATCAATTCTGGCTTTGGTTTGATTCTGATGGGCGATTTTTCTGAAATCCTTTCTGGGAGAGGCTCTGAGGGAACCTCTGGAAGATCAATCTGCTCCTGAGTGATGGCATCTAATTCAGCTAAAATAGCATCTTCATCCTCTGTAGTGAAGCTTCCAGACAATATCTCATCTATTTGCCTCTGGTACTCTACAGCCTCCTGGGTTTCATCCATGATTCTTTCCACCTCTTCTATTGACATAACTTGATGCATTCTATTTAAACATTCATTGCCAATTTTGAGACCCTCAATCACTTTCATCTCAATCTGTGTGAATTCAATATCGTGGACCATGCGCTCTAAATTGCTAATTTGGTTTTCAGTTTTGTCTAACAATTGCTCTTGATAACGCTTCTTCTTTAGCAGAAGTTTGGCTTTCTCTTTCTTGCCATCTTTTAGTAGTTGACGAGCAACAATCCTCTCTCGGTCCAGCTGTAGAGAAATCTTTTTCTTATATTGCTTTAATTTGTCTCGTTGCTGTTTTAGTTGCAGCACGGCCTTATCTTGCTCGGTAACGCGGGTCTGCCGCTTGCGACCGAACAGATTCCTCATCGCCCCGGCCCCGCCCGCGCGGCCTACATTAAAATATTTCTAATACATTATTTTCAAATAAAAGCTATTTGATACTTTCTAGTTTGATATTTGTTCTGAACATATTCTATCCATCTTTTCCATTCCCATTCATAAGTCTCTTGTGAGCAATCTTTTAAGTATGCTGAAATCTTCGCCATCTCTGCAAAACTGGCCATCTTCAAAGTCCATTCCTCAATAGTGGGCAAAGCTTCATTTTTCCAATATTTACCTATCAACAATCTTGCTGCTGTTATCATATACAATATCAGTTTTGTTTCACCTGATGTAAAACCCTTAACTATACCCAATAAAAACAATTGTGTAGAGAATTGAATTTTCTTCTTCAAAACATTCTGGTGTTGGGGGGATGGTGGGTGGCAGCGATCGGCATCGCTTGGATTGCAGGAGCCACGGCGAACTCCTTCCCCACGAGGTATTGCTCTGCATTTCACCACCTCTTCCAGGCTCGCAGCCACCCACCATCCCCCCAACAGGAAGAACCGCCCGGCAGTGATTCCAAGAAGCCCGAAGCGAACATCCTGGAGCAGCGCGGGCCGGCCCGGAGGCTTAAACCCCGGGAGCCCAGGTGCCGAATCCCGCACAGCAGAAAAGACATGACAGCCGGTGCCCAGTTCCTTCTGCAGCCGTCCGGATCGGCGCCAAGCCAGGAAAGTGCGCTGTGCACTCCCACCCTTCGCCTGCGAGCCCGGGTGCCGATCCGCTTGGGCTGCGGGAGCCACAGCGGTGCTGGCCGGGCTGGGTCTGGTGCGGCGGGCGGAGATGAAGGAGCAGCCTCGGTGGCAGCAGCAGCAACAATTACAACCAGAAAAGCCATGGGGAAAGGAGGAGCAGTGCTAAATTACCTTCCGGGGTGGAGGGGTGTGTGTGGAAGAATAGGTGAAGCTAAAACGGCTTTCTCGTTCATCCCGATGTCAGGAGAAGCGGCTTGAGGGGCGCTCGAGCTTTTAAGATTTTAACCTGGGCTAATCGGGCGGGGGAAAGAAGTGCTCTAGTCTGCAAACGAGGCAGGGTCTTGGGTTTAAAGGGTGGGGGGGCAGAGAAACTTTCAAGGCAGTTTTCTCTCAGCCAGAGGTAGAATCTGAACGGGAGAATATGGGCGTCGCTGTGTGGATTGCATTATTTCGCTCATTTCTGGAAATATCGCTGCGCCCCTTTTCGCCTCCCGGAATTATGTGGCTCCCACCCACTCCACCCCACAACAGATCTGCGCGAGAGGCCAGAAAACTGTGGGTTTCGTGTGTGTGTATGTAACAAAAGGTGCAGATGTCTTTCCCCCCTGTTTCTTTCCGGCTGCAGCCTTTCTTCTGAATGGGGTCGGGCTGGATACGCCGCGAAAGAGATTGGCTTGGGGGAAAAAAACCGGTCTGCCGCCTTTACCACTACCTCCCCTCTCCACAAACACACACTTTTTGTTGTTGTTTGTTGCTGATAACATTCCCCCTCTCTCCCCCCCCCAATTCCACGGGTTCAAAGCCGCTGAGAGAGAGAGAGAGAGAGAGAGAGAGAGAGAGAGAGAGAGAGAGAGAGAGAGAGGGGAAAGAAAGAAAAAAAGAGTTTTGATTCTGCCGGCTTATCGCGAAGGCATTGGAACAAGCAGCCTAAAACTAGGAGGCGTGTAAAGTCGCGGCTTAACGTTGCCACAATGAGACTTTGGTGCCTGTTTGTGTGGACGGTGTCCATGCTCGCCGCGTCCTCTGTATCGAGACCTCTTTTAAAGCTCCTTTTTGATAAACCCCCCTTGTGCCTCTTCTCCGGGTTTCTTGGTAACTGGGATCCGCTACACGTGCAAAACGGAGTCCCGAAATGGCTCTCCCGAGGTTGCCTGCTCTCACCATTACTGCAGCCATCCGGATTGGCGCCAAGCCAGGAAAGTGCGCTGCACACTCCCACCCTTCGCCTGCGAGCCCGGGTGCCGATCCGCTTGGACTGCGGAAGCCACGGCGGTGCTGGCCGGGCTGGGTCTGGTGCGGCGGGCGGAGATGAAGGAGCAGCCTCGGCGGCAGCAGCAGCAGCAATTACAACCGGAAAAGCCATGGGGAAAGGAGGATGAGGAAGATCTGGCAAGGCGGTGCGAGCACTTCATGGCTCCTCCGGTGAGCGGATTGCAAGAGCTGCACGACTGAGGCAGAGACATGCGAAGTCGCATGGAGCTTCTCATAATGGAGACACAGAGCCAGGTGTGCAAGGTGCTGGCCCAGGTCGACCGCGGCGCCGCTTTCACCGTGGACCTCCTTGGAATGCTGGAACCAGCTGGTTGCTGCGCGGAGCTTCCCCCAGGCATCCAGGGAGATATTACCGACGCTCTGACTTCCCCAGACCGGTGGACCTCGCCATCAGTGGGGGTCAGCTGGGGAAGTCAGAGCATCGGTAATACCCCCCTAGATGCCTGGGAGAAGCTCCGCTCAGCAGCCAGCTGGTTCCAGCATTCAGCAGCATGCAGCCTTGATTAGATTGGCACAGCTTTCTGTCAATGTCATCAGTCAGTGCCAGCAACTCAGATTCATGAAGCTGTGCGGATCTCGACAAGGCTGCATGGGTGAAGGAAAAAAACCTGGTACAAAATAGCCTTCTTGCCACTACACCTAGCGTAGCCCATTACCTTTCTCTACAGTACAGCAACAATACATACAGTACAGCAACAGTACATACAGTATAGTATACAAATATAACAGTCAAGACCCCATCATGGCTCCACCAGCAAGAAGAAAGAAATATGAAGCCAGTTTTAAACTTAAAGTTGTAAACTTTGCCATGGAACATAATAACTGTGCTGCTGCAAGACAATATGGAATAACAGAAAAGATGGTTCGGGACTGGAAAGCAAATGTAAAAGCGTTAAAGAGTATGCCAAGGGGTAAGTGTGCATTAAGAAGAGGCACCCCACATTGGCCAGAACTCGAAAAACATGTAGCAGACATGGTGAATGAGCATCGCCAAAACGGTTATGTAGTGACACGAAATAAAATACGTTTGTTTGCACTTCAGTGGGCCAAATCTAACCCAGATCACAGCAACAGATTTAAGGCCACTGTATCCTGGTGTACTAGATTCTTGGAAAGGCATAAGCATTTGAATTAAAATTACCATATTGAAATCAAATCTGATGTTTTTTAATTTTTATTTGGTGTGCGTTGGAAGAGGGGTAGTCTTATACGGCGAGTATAACCCAAACCCTATATTTTAACAGGAAAAGTAGGGGGTTGTCTTATACGCCCAGTCGTCTTATATGCCGGAAAATACGGTACATCTTTTATAAATAAACAAAAAAAGAAAAAAAAGAAGATAAAAAAGAAATTCAAAACTTAAGAAAAAACCAATTTTACCTCAAATTTAACATTTTCATCTATATAAATTCATTATATCTATCCAAAATTAGTTTCAAATTCACTTTCACTCATTTTTACATCTGCATAACAATTCTAAACATATCTTTATTCTTCTTTACCTTATATCTTATACAAGTCATATCAAAATAATTTTTACAATATTCTAACCTCTTGTTAAGTGTTTACCCTACAATTTTATCACCATTTATTCTTAGTTTCAATTCAATACCACTCCATTTTTATTATATTTTATAAAACAACATTTAATCTAATTTTAATCCTTTGACCCTTATCCTCAAATCAGTTTACCTTAGTTTTTTTTTCCCTCCCAGTTACATATTACACAGATTTCTCTCAAAGGCATATTTTATTTACTCCAATTTCTAATATATTTTCCACTATATCTCCCTCTAATATTTTAACTATCTTCCAACTTGTTCTATTTGATTAATTCTCAGTTTGATCCCCTCCAAAACACCAACTATTTAATTGATTTTAGAATAGTTCCTCAATCTCCTCCAACTCTCCTCCTATTTGTTTGACTGTTTCCAGCATTTTGTGGGCTGATTTCCAGCATAGTCTCCTCCTTAACTCTCTCCATTGTTTGGCTGATTTCCAGCATAGTCTCCTCCAACTCTCCTCCTATTTGTTTGGCTGTTTCCAGCATTTTATGGGCTGATTTCCAGCATTTTGAATTAATTTCCAACGTATTTCCACCGAGTCTCAAACTCTTATCTAGTTGGTATCCATCCCACACATTTTAACTGTAATATAATTATCTGTTTTATATCATTTTTCCATCCTGCTCTTTCAATTTAAATCTCAGTATATTTCATAATAGTCATCATTTCCAACTTGTATTACCTTAATTCAAGACTAATCACTAGCATCTGTGTATCTTGTATTTTGTTCAATCAGTCCTTATTCATCAGTTTAACATTTGTTTGCAAATTAAAAGTAAAACGTATTACATCAAATAGTACATTTTCTTAAAATTTTCCTGCCTCAAAATATATTCTTCTTTATTATTTTTATCCCCTTGATATCATCCACTATTTTAATAGCCACCTCTTATTTTCTATTTTTATTATTTCACAACCCTTCCTGTTTTTATCCAAAAATCATATATACCTAGGCTTTTAAACTTTATCATATATACATAGGCTTTTAAACTTTACATTTCAGTTAGTCACATTTAAATTTATCTACTTTAATTCTTCCTTTTTTCCTTTTCCTCTCTGTCCAAAGTGCTCTATTTCAAGGTTCATCAGTTCAAAGTAAAGAATTTCTGTATGTCCCTTTAAAACTTTTAAAATGTCTGATCCAAGCGTAGTGCATCAGCTTCCTGTCTTTGTTAACTACGCCACACCTAGTTTTGTCAGTCTCCATTGTTAAAATCCAAAATGTTCTTTCTTTCTTCTTTCTTCTTTCTTAAAATCATCTGGGACAGAGTAGGAATCTCCAAAATCCTTATATCCAATATTAATTTCAAGTAATCCAAGGTAAAAAGCCAATTAACATGTTTCTTTTCCACCCAGAAAGGGAAATCTCTTCAATCCACTTCCCTGCTTAATTACTGCAGACTCCATGGCTATTTTGTAGCCATCCATCTGTCTATCTTCATTAGCTTCATTTTCTTTTAAAGGCATTA